CATTGCTGTGCCCACCACCAGCCATGCCGCCCCATCAAACACAGTGCATGCATTTAGTGCAAATGCAGAGGTTCAGGCTGGTACCCACCCTGCGAGAGGTTTTCCTCTTCTGATACAACAAAAAATCAAGTGCCAAAGTAGAGAAAACCCCCAAAGGAAATGCACAAGGTTGTGGGCACAGGTATGACTCTAATGACTTTTTTTCCCTCCTGTATGACAGCTGCTCCCAACCACAACTGGCCACCGTGCCCTGCGGAATGACATGCCAGGGGGCCCAGCCCTGTGCTGGGCAGGGAGATAAGGCTCAGGGAGGTGCCATGAGTCACAGAGGACCCGGCTGGGCTGGGCAGCTGCAGTGCCACGCTGCCAAGCACATGGTGCCCCAGCTCCCCGGGATGCCCCAGCACCCACACAGCCTGCGGAGGGGGACGGCGCACCCAGGACACTGAGCGGTACGTAGGCTTGTCCTGTCCCTGACCATGGCAACCAGGTCTCTAGACTGAAATTCCGTGACTTCGGCAGCACTTTTCTTTTGACTTACTGGCAGGTTAGGGGTTGTACAGGGGAGGTTTTAGTTGTTCCTCTTTCTTGTAGCAAGGAGGTGAAGTGGAAACCCCTTGCACTGGTGTCCTTTCTACAAGGTGCATCTGTGCTGGTTTCATAGACAGACTTAATGAACTACCTGTGTTAACAGCAAGGATTAAGTCCATGTTTCCACCCATTATGAGGTGATATGTGTGTGATGTGTGATCCAGGGCAAACTTCTTTTTTGATTGTGGCTTTGGATGAATTTACAGAGTGTTCTCTAGGTACAACCCCAACAGCCGGGACACCTCCCAGATGCTGACTGGAACCCCTCAAGGTGCTGACACCCAGGGCCTTGCTAGCTGCCAAAGATGCATTTCAGGTCCTTCCATGCTTGCAATTGCTGCAAACCAGAGCCCTTCACTGAGGCTGCCCAGTGGAGGAACTGCTGCATGGTCCATGCTTACCTTGTGCTTTCAGCCCCAAGAAGCAGCTCCTCCCAGCAGGCAGCTTGCTGCCAGCCCTGAGCACCAGCACTCGTGTCCTTCCCTGTGCCCTGGCGTTTTGGCACAGGCCACTTTGGCACAGCCTGCAATCCATGGCACAGAGACCCCCACCGAGCTGCTGTTCTCATGCTGGAGGAGACACAATCGCTTCCCTCCGGCTCTTATCGCCCCCATAGCTGTTTGTTCCCTGCTTGGGAAAACTTCACCAGAGAGGCAACTTGTAGTGATTTGGCTTTGGGCTCAAAAAAATTTGGGCTTTTGGGATGTCTTGTTCGTGGTCAGGGACCTGCTGGGAGAGAGAGGGACAAATAGGGCTCAAAAAGCAGAAAAAATTACCCCACAAAAACCCAAACCCAACAAAGGCAGAAGTTTCTGGGAGAGAAAAGTAAAGCTTTTCTGGAGCACTGGGAGGAACTGGGAATATTCCCCTCCTGCATCCTGGAAACCCTCCCTGTGAGAGTAGGGATCTGCCCCGATTTCCGGGCAGCCATAACTCCACGCTGCCAAACGCGCGCAGGCTCAGGGTGGAGCCTTTGCCTTACAACACCACAGAGCTCTTTAGCAATATTTGTCTGAGCACCTTTTTGTTCCTGGAATGCTTTTTGAGCAAATAAGTTTCAGGTTTATTAGACAAATAACCCTATTTACCACTCACCACAGCTCCTTCCTTTCTCCTTCTCCTGCAAGTCACTCTCTGCTAGATGTCATGGTCACTTTTCTTTCTGGCACAGCCTCAACAAAAAAAAAAAAAAAAAATTCCAAACAATTAAAAGAGAACATAAAAGAAATCCCAGGACAGGGCTACCCTTTTGTAGTGCAATCAGGTTTCACCACCCAGGGACTTTGCCCAATAAATTTTACCTGGAATTAAGCTGAAGATAAATAGCCTGAATAAATACATGACATCCCTAAAGTGGAAGTGTTTATCAGTTTATTTTTCCATTTCTCTTTCTCTGCAATGAAATCAATACGTTCATAGGGAAAAAAACCACAAGTTTGGCAAAGAAGAGCCATGTGCAATGGGGCAGCTGCAGGGACCAAATGGGGATTGTTCTGCAAATCCAGTGGAGTCCTGCTCCATGGCCCAGGTCTAAATCCTCAGCAGCTCTGGGCTCTGCCCATGGCATTTGGCAGGGGGAACTCAACCAGTTCCAGAAGCAAAGCAATACCAGTTTTGAAGGCTCTGTGACTCGCCAAGGGGGGTTTTAAAGGCTGCTTTTTCTGCCCCCATCAGGAGATCAGGCACCAGGCTGGGGAACCAGGCATGAGAGAGGCTCCCTGCATTTCAAAAACAAAACTTCATGGGAAAAGAATCAAAAGGCAAGAGCCTGGTGCCATCCCACCACATCCAGCCACAGGCATCATTTGTCCTCCAAAACCTTTAAATTGTCCATTTTCAGGTCTGTGGCTCTTCCACCAGTTCAGTGAAATGAGCCTGTTCATGCCAGCTCCCACACTAGTTTACATCCATTTCAGGGACACCAGGCCAGGGGCGTTGGATGGGCCAGGGTAAGGTGGTGTTGGGAAGAGCTGCAAGCATTGTGGACCTTTGTGCCACCTCCTGCAGAGACAGATTCCTGCTCATGGCCACCTTCCTCTGGGAGGAATAGCTGCAGAGTTGAGAATTGAGATGCTGCAGGGAAGCGAGTGTGCTTAGCTGCCTCCCTATCACAACCACTGTCACAGCCATAGAACCATAGAACGTCTTGGGTTGGAAGGGACTTTTGGAAATGTAGATAAGACATGAGGCTATGCTTCTCCGGGCAGCTGCTAGCTCCCTGCCAGAGCAGCTTTGGCAGCTCCTCCTCACCACAGGCTTACAGCTGAAACATCACTGCAGGGCTGACACTTGGGCCAGACACCAGCCACGCTGCCCCACACTGCAAGCTCCTTCTGGGGTCTCAGGCCAAGCAGGGAAGCAAAGGGCTTTCCTCCTGCCACACAGATCATTTTCCTCCTTGTTTTTAAGGCTGCCTAAAAGCCCCATGCAGTGATACTGCAATCTGCTCCAGGGTGCAAGGGAAGCATCTCACCAGGGTACTGAAGGAGGATACTAGGTCCATCCCACCCATGCATGGGACCAAGGGAGGATGGCATTCACGTGGCCACGGGCACCTTCCCTGAACACAAGCCCCAGGACGGGGCCCACAGCAGGGCTGGGCAGGAGGCAAAGCTCTTCTCTCCTTCCTCATGACACAGCAGCCTAAAACCAACTTTCAGCCCAGCCCTGCTACAACTCGCTGCTCCTGTTTGCCCTTCAAACAGGAAAAACAACTCTCAGCACAGCTCTTCTACATTTTTTTCATGACAAGTCTCACAAAAGGTCTGCTTTAGGTAACATTACGTTCTTTTAACTCTGAGCACATGCATCACAGGTGACAATTTACCTTAGGACTCCAGGGTGGTTTCCAGAGCAGACGTTCACCAGGCTGCAGCACTGAATTTTGAAGGTAGGAATGGGTGCTCAGCACCCAGGAGCACAGTGCATGGGGTGGCGGATGCCTGTCCCAGCCACTGGGGTGGCAGCAGGGGGTTCGGGGGGCAGATGGACTCACTTGGGTAGGAAAGAGTTTATGCTCCAAATGACAACCACTCTCCATTCACATGGGCGAGGACACTTCAGGATGTGGACGGGTGGAAATATTTCTGTTCTTAAGCCAGGCATCCTCAAACCTGGCTGCACTGCCCAGCTCTATGGCGCTGCCCTTCTTCCCTTCCCTTTCTGGTTTTAAAGAGGACAAGCTTGTTTCCACAGCGTCCCTCACTGGGCAAGGCCAACCCACAGCTTATCCTCAGATGGCATTTTGCAGCCCCTAAGATTTGAAACCTACTTTGCATCATCCCAGAAGGAAATGCAGCAAAGCCATGATCAAAAACACGCTCCTTGAGCTTGTCGCTGTCAGCAGACTAGAAAAGCACTACCCAGAAAAGGATGTGAACCAGGAGTGCACAGGGCAGTGGATGCTTCCAGTGAGGGGTTCAGAGGCTTAAAAATGAAGCAAGCTCAGCCAGTGCAGCCTGCTCCCATGTACAGCACCCAGGATTTCAACACCAGGGTGGGACCAAGCCCATAAGCCTGATAAGAATTTATACATCTTTGGTGATCTCGTATTGCAAATATGCCTAAACACAGCAGTTATTTTTTTTCATCTAGTATCTGCCTGGCTTTGGTGGGTTACAGGTATGATTTATGGTATTTCCTTCTTTTGTCTCAGTGTGACCTGTGCCCATTGACCACCCCCCTGGTCGTGCTCTGTCTCCCAACCATGCTGCGGGTGACAGGTAAGGAGGGAAGCAGAGATTTACTTTCCTATGTCCATTTTTCTGCATTTCTTTATGTCTCCTTCTCATATACATGCCCCCTTCCAAACCCAGCTACTCTGAACTTCCCCTGCCAGGGCCATGGGAAAGGACCTTTATATAAGCAACAGGTTTTTGAAAGATTTGTATAGATTCCAGCCTGTTGTATTTTTCCCAGTGAAACCCTATGCAGCTTGGAAGAGATTGCTATTGAGATGTTCCTGGTTCCATAAGAGCCATTCAGCTGCAATATAAGTATATTTTTCTACTCTTTCCATGCAGGACTGGAACGTTTTGCTCCAACGAGCGCTGCTGTAAAGCCAAATGCCAATCACATTTGTATTAGCAGCTGCTTGGCTGTAGCTAGTGACTAATTGGGGGATAGCGGCCTTCCCAGCACTGGGAACAGAAGTATTTGGATCCACATAGCTTTCTGAGTAATTATCAGATTTACTTTAATGCAGAGAGAAATATGAATAGTGCCTCCCAGTAGAAGTGATAAGGTGCCTATCTGAGCACCACCACATGCTCTGGAGATACTGAGAGATCAAAGTCCTTTTAGAGTGTGAAGGAAGGAGTGTTAGATGCCTTCCCACCACACAAGTGCTGTCTGTCACCCTGTGCCTGGTAACCTGAAGACACAGCCCAAGCCCCCAGGAAGCCATATAGATGCTCCAGTCCCCAAGAGGTGCTGCTGCTGCTCTCACCTGGTTCCCCCTGGCCCTTGCAGGGGTGATCCGGTACACGGCACTCTTCCTCGTGCTGCTGGGCACGTGGTTCATCGTCCAGACGTACTTCGACCGGAGCTGGAAAACCATCAGCCTGAGAAGCTGGCTCGGTGAGGCAACAGTGGGGCTCCAGTCAGGTCCAGAGGGAGGTAGTGGGTGACCCCATGGCAAACGAGGCCCCAGAGCTGCATACAGCTGCCATGAACATTCATAGTGCCCGGCCATGGCTACAGCCACCAGCTCTGACCATTAGGGCAGCGGTGGGACAGCACGGGGGGAAGCTGCACCAAGGTGGGTGGCTCCAGGGGTGCTTGGAGGAACAGAGAGCAGTTTTGGAGAGCTAGCACCCGAATGGCTGCTCGTGAGGTGGGGAAGAGCCAGCAGCTCTCTGGGATGTCTAACCCCCCTCCTTGGTACCCACAGGTGCCACGGACAAGCCCAGCAGTGAGTACCGCTCTCGACACCACCTCCATCACACAACACTGCTCCGAGGCAAGGGGTGATGGTAGAAACATGACAGCTGCCCTCAAGAGCCCCCTTCCCAAGGCAAAAATCCCACCCTCCTAAACTGAGGGGAGTTTCATTACTGCACACAGCAGCAGTGGCCTCGGTGGGCTCTGCAAGCACGCAAACCTTCATGTGATTCCCCTGCCCTAGCAGAAACCCTCAGGCCACAGGCTACAGCAAGAAGCAGGTCACAGGCCCTATCCAGGCAGCGTGCACAGCTCCCTACCCTGGCCAAGAATGGGGAAGCTCTGGGCAGAAAAACCCTGACAGGCTTGAACAAGTGCCAGCACCAGACACAACCTGGCACACCCTCTCTGCAACCCCCACGGCATCAGCCACCCTGTCCCACTGCTCCCACCCACTGGGGCACCCAGGTCAGCCCATCCCACCCCAAGCCTCTGCACTGCAAACCTCAAACAAGCAGCTGGTCCCAGCCCTAGGACAAGCCTCCTTCATGCAAGAACCCAGTCCAGGAGTTGCCCCCTGAGTGGACCACTATGCCCCAGTGCCAGTCCTGCTCAGGAACACAGCTGGTGTCCCCCCACGGGGCAAACACCAAGGCTGGCAGCTCTGCTTCTCCCTCACAGGCAAGCAGCCACCCCAGCACAAGTGTGGGAACCACAAGAGCTGCCGCCAGAACTACTTTGCCTTCAAGATCATCAGTGGTGCTGCAAACGTGGTGGGACCGTCCATCTGCTTCGACGGCGCCATGTGAGCAGCACAGGGTGGGGACGGGGCAGCCGGGCCTGGCTGAGCTTCAGCACGGAGAGCCCGGCCTCTCCCGAGTGCATTGGGCCACCACAGTGCATGGTGGTTTAAAAACATTTCAAACTAGTTTCCTTTGCTACCACTTCTGGGGATATTTTTATGTCTGCAGTCACTTTACCCCATCTCAGCTTTGCTGGCCCCAGCATCTCTAGGACATCCCTGACTTACTGGTGCTCTCTGCTTTCCTTTCCAGCCTCATGAGCAGTGTGAAAAACAACGTTGGCAGAGGCCTGAACATTGCGCTGGTGAATGGTGAGTGGGGTGGGCAATAACCCCCTTCTCCCCATGGCCAGGGTCACTCTCTCCCCAGGGGGAACAAGCCACCAGGGCCCCATCCTCAGCACTGTGGCTGGACCAAAAGCACATCAGTCTGGTGTTGCATGGAGCACAAAGTCACAATTATGGCTGCAAGCACTGCCAAGAAGATGGGAACAAACTCACCCGGGTCATGCATGATGGCTGCATGAACTCCACTGAGCAACACACTCACCACCACAGCAAATACGACACACTGAGGGAAGAGCAAAGCATTTTGCAGCAGGAAACCCAAGCCAGCGGCCAGGCAAAGCCTTGGGCCATCCCAGTGTAAACTCACTGTGCTCTGCTCTGAATTTGAACCTTTCAGGAACAAGTGGGCAGCTCCTGAGGACAGACACCTTCGACATGTACTCCGGAGGTATGTGCGATCGCTCTGCACTTTGGTTGTTCCCAGACGGGCCTCACACCAGCACTTCTGGCTGCCAGCTATTCAGGCTGCTCCTCTGTCGTGTATTTAATTATAAAGTCTAGTAGACTTTGACCAGGATCACCAGCTCAGGCGGTAAAAGCTCGGCTTTCCCCAAGGCCATTGTGTCTGGAGTCCTACTAATGCATCCACATCCAAGGTCGGCTTCCCGCTCCTTTTATGTGTGTACAGTAGCCTGAAAAACATAAACCAGGGCACTTGAGACCTGAAAGAGGCTACTTTCTGAAAGCAGGTAGCTACACTAATCCAGAGGTTCTGCAGCTATGAGTTCAGTTTCTGAATGCTGGTGGTGGCTAAGCAGCAGCTTGCTTTCCTGCCCTTCACAGGAGGATCAATGAGGAGCTCAGTGCACGGCAGCGAGATGTGGCTCTCAGCCCCAGCAAGGCTGGGCACAGGGAGCAGAGCCTGGTGGCAGCAAAGGCCACATCCCTGCGCCTGCCAGCTTCAAACAATCTTCCTAGCAGGAAGAAGATGCCCTGGGCTGGGGCAGCACCCCCCCCACAGCCCGCCTGGCACTGACTTACAGGATGCTGTAAATCCCACTGCTGTGACAAAGCTGTTACCAAACTTCTCCAGGGTTTTGGCAGGACTCCTCAAAAATCACACGCTAAACCAAACTCTGTAGTGCTTTCGATTTACGCTTTGCTGTTTGAGCCTTCTGCAGGGATCAATCACTCTATCTGCTTTGGTTTTGCAACTTGTTCTTGGTAATTCTGGAGTTTTTAAGGAGAAACACCAATATCATGAGATTTCTGGCTGAGTTTGCGAAGGCAGGCGGGAAGGAGAAGGCAGCTGGCTCCTGTGCCACTAGATGGGGCATTGGAGTCGAGCATCCCGTGGATGTGGGCTGAGGAGTAATTCCCGCAGCACAGGACACTGCAGGATCGCAGGGCAGGCAGCTCTGCAGAAGAGCGGGTGCGTTTCTTACGTGGGAAAGTAAATCCACATAACTGGATTTCACAATTAGCGAGCAAAGTTTAGGAGCAATTTGCCCCCTGCAGTGGGTGCTGCAGGACAGCCCAGGTGGGAACACAAGATGGGAATGCAGCACCTAGGACCCGCTTCCTCCCCAAGCTCATGACTCTAAATCTCAGCTAGCACCAGCACAGTCAGGATATTTCCCACTGACCGAGAGGAGGTTCCCCCAGCTGCCACACAGCAGTCCCTGCTAAATCCCTTTTTCTTTCCCTGCTGCTTGTCTCTCCCAGATATCAACAAACTGGATACCTTCCTCCAACAGATCAAGCACGGCACCATCGTGTTGACAGCCAGCTACGATGACGCTGCCACAAAGTGAGTTTGGCCCTGGGAGCAACACCTGGCTCCCCAGGAACCCACAGCCACAGACACCTGGAGGTGTTGCTGCCAGCAGCAGAAAGGCAACAGGAGGGGATGCTCACCTGGCAGCGCTCTTCTTTCCCTCTTTCAGGATGAACAACAAAGTACGGGCACATTTTGAAGAACTAGGAAGCAGCCACGTGAGCAAGCTGGGCTTCCGGGACAACTGGGTCTTCTTGGGAGCAAAAGGGCTGAAGAACAAGAGCCCATTTGAAGAGGTACATCACCTCCCCTGCCACGAGCTCTAGAGGTTCTCATCCTCTTCATAGCACCTCCTGAGCTACATCTCACCTCCCTGTCTGCAGAAGACGTGGGCCAGTGGTAGTATCCTCCACGATGAGCCAAGCAGCAAGTTTTGTCACACTGCAAACTTGTGCTGTGCCACCAACCTCCTCATTCATTTTCCTCTTTCCTTTTCTTCCTGCAGCACATCAAAAATGATAAGAAGACAAACAAATATGATGGCTGGCCTGAGCTGCTGGAGATGGAAGGCTGTGCCCCCAGGAAGATGGACTAGCATCAAGCCTCAGCCTGCCAGTCTCACAGGGACAACCCAGGGACCCCAGCCCAGTCACAGAGCCAAGCTGCCGCTGCCTGCTCCCAGGGACCAGCCATTTCACAGCAGGGGCTGCACAGGGCTTGGAGAAGAGCTGTACCAGAGCCTGCAGAGCCTGAGCAAACGCCCAGCCAGGCCTCAGCCAAGTTGTCCTTACCTAGGGGTCAATCTGGGGGATTTTATTTTTCTGTCTTTAAACAAAAAACTTTGTAGAAGGCTTTTCATATTTCTTAAATAGAACATCTAATTATAAAACACTCCTACCACATTTCCCTGCAGACACTCTTCCTCTGCCACCAGCCAGGCATTGCCACCACCCATCCCACAGCACTGCACACGGGTGCTCCCCTCCCCACATGGCACAAGGCAAAGTCATCCCTGGGGATGCCCAGGCCTCCGTGGTTTCCCCCTGGAGCTCCTGCCAACCCCTTGCTGTTTCCTACAGCCACAGTAAGGCCAGATAGCCAGAGGGATGGCTTGCAGCAATGCAGGGTAATATTTGCAGACCAAAGAGTTTCTCCCACCCAACTACATCTTTGCTAGGTTACCTCAGAGTTAAACCCTCGATTACAAGTCCCCCAAACGCTGAGCTAACACCGGGGATGTGCAAGGAATGTGGAACCCTAGCCAGCAAAGAAGAAGGGATGGATGTGCAAGTTTCTCCAGCAGCTGAAGTTGTGCAGCATAACCAATAGGTGGGAGCCTTTTACCGGCAGAGCTGGAGCCAGGCTCAGTCTGGAGCGGCCCAACATGCCCGGGCTGGCATCCTGCTACGGGCACCCACACACCCCCCTGTCCCCGGGAGCTGCACCCCAACCCGGGACAGCCCCAAGAGCTGCACCCCAACCCGGGACAGCCCCGGGAGAGATCCCTGCCCGAACACGGGCCAGCAGAGCCCTGCAGATCTCCTTCCAGGGTGGTGCCCATGCTCTGCCCATTGCTGAGGAGGTCCAGGGGGAACATCTGCCCCATGCTCGTGTCTGGAGGCTTTCAGGCAAGCACGCTCTGTACCCAAAGCCCTGCGTGCGGGTGCTGCTGAGATCAGACAAGCCGTGTGGGTGATGGCTCAGGCTTATCTGTCATCAGAGACAGGGACAAATTTGCATCATATACAGACTTTAATTTCCTATGATTGTATCTAGGTTGTCCCCATTCGTTAGAGCAGACCAGCAGTTTTGCAGAACGTGAGGGTGGAACATCTCTGCTGGAGCAGTTGGATGTGCAGGGTAACAGGCTCTCCTGCACAGCCTTCTCTGCCTCTGGCAGCAGCATTTGCCCCAGCACAGCTTCTCACAGGCAGTGCACACTGCTTATCTGAGCCCTCAGGTCGCCCCAGGAGAGCAGAAGAAGTAAAGAGCATTGTCAGAATAAGGCCAGGAAAAGACACAGCCTGTCCTGCACCAGCCTCCTTAGGGATGAAACCCTGGATCCAAAACCCAGCACTACCATCCAAAACCAGCGGGGCAAATAGTTTTCCCTAAACAAGGAAAAAATCTGGAAATAAACTCTCTAACACCTGTAAGAACTTCCAGAGGCAAAACTGAAACAAAACCCCAAAAGAACCACAACAGAGGAATCCCCCCAGGAGTTGTAGTATTTTATCCCAGCTTATCCTCCTGCGCATTTAATGTGTGCCAGAGCACCCCAGGGGAAGCCTCTGCCATAAATCGATCCCTAAATCTGCTGCAGCAGCAGCGGTTAATCCCCAGCGCTGAATCACCCCGACCCACAGCAGCAGCGAGCAGTAATACCACAGACACAACAGCCCTCGCGTCACACAGCCCTGCCACACTGCCACCATAAATATGCCAACTATTTTAAGCCCCCTCAAAGGATCTAGATTCACTTGTAAGCCAAACTGAAAACAGCCTAAGAGCTGGAAAGGCGGCTGCATGGTGTAAAGCAGAGCACAGCATCAGCTACAGCCCAGAAAACAACCAGCCCCTTTCAGCCACAGGAAACTCTTCCTAGTCTTCTGCAATGCACATAAGAAATCTGTTTTATAGCCAAAATAAAGGAGATTAATGTTTTAGCGTGCTGCAGACAGTTAAAACTAGCTCAGAATCTGTCACGGAGCAGTTAATAAGGCACATCACTATTTTCAGTGAATGGGGAGAGGTCAAAGCACAACTCCTGTGCAGGGTCCTTAATCAGCAGTCAGTGTTTTGGAGAGCCCTCCCTGTGTCAAAGTCACTGTGTCCTGATAAATAAATTGGAACTTCTCAGAAGTCCAGAATTTGGGAGGCAGAGGTACAAACAACGCTTCAGGAGTCAAATTTAACTTACTCATTTTTTTAGAAGGTCTGAAAAGAGTGGTGGGTGCAGGGCCAGCAATCCCCGTGCGAGGTTTCTTAGCGCCTTGGCATTTTGAAAGCTGTACTACTGCAGAGACAGGCACCTACCTGACTGGTTTTCATCGGGCCACATCTCCCAGAGACTCCAGCAAACACCAGCCCTGACCTGCCTGGCCTCCCAGGAGGCAGCTCTGGGTATCCTGGGCTCACGTGGGGGCCACGGTGGGCTCTAGCGCTGCAGCAGAGAACACACAGCCTGGGGCACTTCCTGGAGAAAAGCTTGCAAAATCCAGTGCTGCAGCAGGAGGCAAGAGCCAGGATGAAGACAGGGAGCAGAGATCTCCTGTAGTCTGGGGGTACAGATTTATTTTGGCAAAGCAGCAAAGGAGAAGCCAGGAAAGATGCCACGGGCGAGGATCGACGGGTACCGGGGCCCCGCAGCCGGGCGAATCCGCGTCCTGTGACATCTTGCCCTGTCAAGTGCAATTACTGTAATCTTCCACAGCTTCTCAAAATACGGATCCCGGCTTAGAAACCGGGCATCCGCAGCATGAAAGCTGCCTTTGTGCCCGGGCAGAGCCTGGGCGCGAGCCAGCCGTTAGGTGCATGAGGAAAATGAGTCTTCCACGTGCTGGGAGAAGGGAGGAAAAGCAAGCTTGCCCGCCCGACCCCGCTGCAGACGGGCTGGATTTCACCCACGTCTCCCCGGAGCAGCCAGCGAGGGGCTGGGAGCCGCACAGCTGCACAGCCCCCCGGGACTGAGGGGGCCGGCGAGCACAGTCCTGCACCCTGGGCGAGCCGAGCGCAGCCAACACGTCGGAGCATGGGGGCGGCTCACGGGAAGAAGGTAACGGGGCAGTTCTGCTCAGGGCTGCCGAGGCGGTGGCGGGATGAAGGCTCAGGCACCCTCTGCTCACAGGGCGCTTGTTTTGCCCCGCGCGTGCTAAGGAGGCTGACCCAACCGGGGGATTAGAGGGAAGGGACCTGCTCCTGGCCATCCGTGTCACTTGTCAGGGACAGATTCAGTAATTCCACCTGATGGGCTCGCCATCAGGGCCTGCCGGGGCTTTCAGGACAGCAAGAAGGGGATCAGAGTGTTGAATTAGGACAGGCAAAGTTTGGCTTTCTGGGGAGAAACATCAGGCTCGCTCCAAGGGCAGCCGGCAGCCTCTGAGCTGTCTCCCACAGATGTGGTGCAGAGCAAGCCCCAAGAATTTCTTGGCCTGTGAACTGCTGTAAGCTCCCTCCCATGGCAGGCCAGGTCCCACAGCACCCAGGCACATCTCCCTCTCCTGCCAGTCCCCCAGGGAGAACAGTCGAACAGCTCCAAAAGGGAATGGTGCTTTACAGAGTGAGAGCCATGTGGAGGTGGCCAGAGCTGGTTGTGCCAGGGGTGCTGTCAGGTGTCACTTTGCTCTCGTCTGATCATCGCTATTCGGTTGTGATGCCCCAATCCAGTATTAGACTTCTGTAGCTTCTCTCCCAGCTCCAAGAGACACGCACGCATGCCCCACACTTGTATTGCAATGGGGACAGCAGTGATCCTTTGCCCCAGGAGGGACTCCACATGCTCCGCTGAGCATGGTCTGTGGCCTTCAGAGGTGTGGGCACATCCAAACCTTCAGAAGCCTTTCAGAAGTTTGCAGACTTGATGGGCTTTCCTCCAAAACCAGAGCTAGGCATTTTTGCAGGGGAAACGCACATAAAAGCAACCCACAGGCCAGCGTGACTAACACTCAAAAGGAAAATTAAGGTTGGTGTAGGGCTAGAAAACATTTATCTGTTTTCCTGGACCCCAGGGAAGCATCAGGTACAGGAGGTGCTGTTCCCAGCCAGCCCCCCGCTTCTCCAACATCCATCCAAGGTGCCAGTGCCACGCTGGCTCCAGCACGTAGGGGAGGCACCATTGTTCCCAGGGCTCAGAGCTATGACAGCACACCCAGGAGGAGCCATGCTCTGCCCACAGCTAATCCCCAAACCTTTGCTCACGTGGCCATGGCCTTCAGGCATTACCAAAAGCAGGGGAATAAGCTGGTTAGGTCAGGCTTGGCTCAGTGCCAAGCAGTTCAGCCTTGCTGCATACGAAGCAATCTATGCCAGCCTCTCAACCATCAGACCAGACAACTATTGGACAGCTTTCCCCATTGCTCTCTCTTTCCCCAACACCACAATCCCATTGCAGCATTGAGTGGCCTGGCTTCAAAACAATCCCAGGGGCTCAGGCTCTCCCATCGCAACAACTGGCTGGCAGCCCCAAAAAGCTCCAAAGCAGTTTTACTTTCATAGGCACCAGAAGGTCAGAGATTTCACTTCCACTTCAGCCTTCCAAACACTGCCTGTGTTGACTAAAGCCTGTGCCACTGCCCGGCTGGCACCAAGCAGGGGCGTCTGACTGGCAGCTCCTGGGTCACTGCTTTACCCTTAGGCTGAAGCTGATGGGGGATGGAAACAAAAAAGCTCCTTCTGCTGCATTTCAAAGGTAGGCAGGCTCCAGTCACTCCTGAGGGGTCTAGGTCTAGGTGTCAGACAGGAAAGCTCTCCTTCCCCCAGCCCTTGCAGAACCAGCACAGCTCAGGGTGCAGGGACCTGCCACGCATGACCCCATCCACCAGATACAGCCCAGAGAGGACCCAGAGAGGAGCACAGAGCGGTAGAAAGGCTCAGCAC